ATTCCCTCATAAGCTCATCATTCCAACCATAAACCAACACCTTCTCAATTCTAGTCTCCACCTCATACTCTTTCTTGATATACTGCGATTAAACTACCCCAAATCTTCTTACACCGACCAAAACTAGGGTTGACTTATTGCACGACATTCGCCCTCCCCAGGTTCAACGCATACTTATCTGCGATCAGTCTCGTTTGAATTAACACTTGACCACAACGTGCAATGCTTGACCTACAACCAATATCACTCTCTTGCAACAAGTTTGAACAGTAACCACCAGAACCAACTCATGTAATACACACACCTCAATTTCGTCACGACCGTGGTACCACTGCAATACGGCTCCATCACAAGGTACATTCTTTAGCCAAAACAACAATTGCTCAAACACATTAATTTTGCCCCGTATTCGACTNGAAATTCAACCAGTTAGTCTAATCATCCTCCAACTCAAACATGTACTTCTTGACACTTTTCGCCATTCTGTGTGCATGCCAGCACCACGTTCCTGGATCTTGTACCAGGTTGTCCGTCGTCAGATTCTTCTCCAGAAGTGCCACATTGATGTTTTTGCCGATGTCCACCAGCTTGATAGTATGCTTGATGCCTTCTTCCCACCTCGGTTCCGGAGTCACCTGCACCACCTTTGCAAACTGCCACCCAGCCTTTACCGTCTTGAAGTATAAATATGCACCAATCATCGCTTTACTTCGAAGACTCGGCCTACCCCGTATGTCACAACAAAGTTTGTAATCTTTTTGCACGTGTCTTTCTCCCTTCCTGCTAGCAATCGTCCTTTTTGCACCCTGAATACGGTACCTCCGATACCTAATGTTCCCTCCGGCCGATTGTTCCGGCTGCTCATTCCAATATTTAAGTACCACGTCCCCATATTGCTCTAACTCTACTTCATGCTCCCACGTACACTTAGCCAACCCCGTCCAATGCGTGTAGTACTGAACCGCCCCCTTCCCACTTATACCTCGACAAATCCTGTGCCTTGATATTTTACACGGGACCAATTCTCTACTATCCACTTCTTCCTCCACGTCCTCTGCCGTAAGGTGGAACGGAGGCGCTAACTCTGAAAACTTATTCAACACATACTTGCTAAAGCCCCACGGCAAGAACCTAGGCCTATCCTCGTTCTCGTGCTGAGTATAACACTTCTTACATCGATACACCGACACTCTCTCATTAATGTTCGTCCCTGGCTCATCCTTATTCACGTCCAAGTACAAAATATTCGGGCCCACTTTTTCCCCTTCCGGATCCGTCCCTGGACCCACAAACAACACCTTATACGGCCCGGTCCAATTGTGTGCTAACTTCGGGATCAACGCGAACGATTTTTCTTTCCCCCTACTGTTCATTCGCGATTTAAGCACGTGTTCCCCCCCACCAGAAATTGTACTCTTCTCATCATACACCAAGACCCAGTCCCCCTCCTTGTACTTCGGCCTCTTCCCTATTATCGAGTTCAACACCTGATTGCTCTTCTCATGCTTTGACTTGGTTATCTTATCCTGCTCTCTTACCAACTCGTACGCCTTCCTTTGCTTATCCCTCATCAAATTCAAATAATCCAATTGGTCTTGCTTTAGGCCCTGATTTCCCGAAACACCCCTTCCCTCCAAGATCGTCATCGGCAACCTCGGGTACCTTCCAATGTGTACAACGTTTGGTGCTAGCCCCGTCCCTCGGCTCACGTTATTGTTGTGTGCCGCTACCGCGTGTGGCAACATCTCATCCCAATTCGCCTGATCGTCCGCAACCAAGTGCGACAACATTTGACACAGCGTATGATTTAAACGTTCCACCATCCCATTCGTCTGCGGATGATAAGAGCTAGTAAACTTCTTCACAGTTCCCAGCATCTTATACACCCCTTTCGCTACCTCATTCGCAAACTCTGCTCCTCTATCTGACAACATGGTGTGCGGACAACCCCACCTCGCAATATAATCGTTCACCATGATAGACACAAAACCCTTCGCATTTTTCTGCGCCTTCGTTAGTGGGTACCCCTCGGCATGTCTGCTGAATAAATCTACCACCAAAAACACGTACTCATTGTCTTTCGTCGTTTTCGGCAATGGACCCAAATAATCAAACGACACCATCTGCCCCGGTCTGCTCGGAAGAGGCAAAGACACTAACGGCCAACACTTCGTATGCCGCGGCACCTTCCGAAACTGACAAGAATAACACCTACGAATCCACCACCGCACGCTTTCAGCCATTCCTATCCACCAGTAAACCCTCTGTAAAATACCTAAGGTCACCTTCTCTCCCAAATGCACCGCTTCCTTGTGGGCACAATCCATGACCCATGGTCTCAACATCCTAGGCACATACGTCCGAACTGGCTCTTCACCCACCCATCTCTCAAATTGCCCTGGATTTCTATTTGGATTTTCCGCAGGGGCTTTCAATTCTTTCCTCACCAACAAATGCTTCGAATTTGGCAACACCAGCAAAGTACCCTGGGAAACCAACCGCTTCAACTCATCCAAGTCGACGTCTACCCCTTCCGGAATGTCTCCCTCCTTCATTCTCTTTGGATCAGCGTGCCCTTCAATGGCCGTAATTGCTAATCGCGCCGTGTCGTCTTCTTCCTGAATATCTGCCCAGTCACTAGCCGTCTTATCACATAATTTTTCCCCAAATTCAATTGCCGCTTGCGTCTGTTCTTCATCATACTCTTGCAACGGAATTTGAGGCAACGGAGGTGCTGCCGGACCCCTGCCCCCGGAACCCCTTCCCCTACCAACACCAGCAGCCCCTCTTCCTCGAGCCGCACGACCTCGACCCCTTCCACGCGCAACAGCCCTGCTACTACGAGCACTACTGCCACCTCCACCACCAGTAACAATCCCACTCCCACGAGCGTTACTACTACCCCCACCACCCTCACCACCAGAGGCACAGCCCCCTCCTTGAGAAATAGCATAAACTCGCGATTTTCCCACCAATCCCAACAAGCGTCTGCCAACTTCCGTTAAAGGAACCGCATGCAATATCAGCCCTGGCTCAAACTGACCACTGACTACTTCCCCACTCGGTTCCACCAACCGGGTGTCATCAGGCACACACGCACCATCAGGCAAAGGGTTGGACACGTCCTTTCCCCTTTGGATCAGCGCCCACGTCTTGTCTGCCAGTTCGTCCGTAGTGAGGCTTGCCGATGTACAGCCACCTTCCCCCACCACAAAATCATCGCGATGGTTCGACCCAGCGAGCGCCTCTCGCTCGGTATACACCGGACCCAATCGCGAAGGTATCACCCCGCTCGCACCTATCATGTAAACATCGAGATCAGACGGATCAGTCAGCCTGACATCTGGTGCCTCATCCTCTTTCGTCGCAGGCAATGGCAACCGTGACATCAAATCGGCATTTGCATTCTCTCGCCCTGGTCGATACTTCAGTTCATACGTGTACGCTGACAGGAAGTCATACCACCTCTGTACGCGATTGTTTTTCTCTGCCAAACTCCCCAAATTTCGCAAGGGCTGATGGTCACTGTACACCTCAAAGGGGATGCCATAAAATAGTGTTCGATTCTGCTTAATCGCCCACACTATCGCACCCGCTTCAAGCTTAGTCGGACTCCATCTGGTTTCATTCGGGAATGTGGATCGGCTCAAAAAGCATAGCGGTCTAATACTCCCATCTCGTTGCTCTTGCTCAATTACGGCTCCCAAGCCCGAAATCGACGCATCAGCGGTTAGCCGAAACGGCCGCTCTCCCGATATCGCACCCTCATAACACGGAAATGCCAAGACCGTAGGACCAGACAGAATATCCATCATCTTCCTTACCACCGCCACATGATCAGCCGTGAACGCAAACTTCTCTCCCTTTTTCAGCATTGCATTGATCGGTTTCAATTTTGCCGACATGTTCTTCAGGAACTTCCGATAGTACGACAAAGACCCCAACAACGATCGTAGCTGGCTAACATTAGTGGGCATTGGCACTTCACGCAGCGGTCTGACCTTTCCCGGGTCCGGCCCGATCCCTTCCGCCGTGGCTTGATGCCCCAAGAACGGCACCACCTTCACCCCCAGTTTCGTCTTCTTGGGTGCCAGTTTCAGGTTGAACTTGACCATACGCTCGAAAAACCTCTCCAGGTCGCGCACGTGTTCTGCCCCGTCCCTGGAAAAAACGATCACGTCATCGATAAACAGACGCACACGTTCCAGTCCGTCACATACTCTGGCCATCACCGAATGAAACCACCCAGGACTACTACTGAGACCTTGCGGCACAGATAAAAATTCGTACAACCCCGTAGACGTGATAACAGCAGTGATCGGAANAGGACTACTACTGAGACCTTGCGGCACGGATAAAAATTCGTACAACCGTGAATAACAGCAATGATCGGAATGCTGTCCTCCTCAATACTGCACTGGAAAAACCCACTGTCCAAATCCAGCGTACTGAAGATTTTCGATTTGTCCAATTCCGCCAAAATATCCTCCACTATCGGAATGGGCAATTTCGGGATTACACTCATTTTATTGATGCGCTTGTAGTTGACCGTCAACCGCACCCCACCGTTAGCTTTCGCGACTACCACCAACGAACTCGCCCAATTGCTGTACGATCTCCGCAACACCGCCGCCAACAGCAATTTGTCATTTTCGATCTGCACCTATTCGTTCATAACCGGTGAATAGCGATATGGCCTCTGCCGCACTGGCTGTGCCCTCGGCTTCAAAATGATTCGAAACGGATCCACCGTCACCCGTCCTAAATCCGAACCACCTTTCGAAAAACGATGCTCAAACTTGCACAATAAATCACCTAGTTTGTCAAATGTCTTTCGGCTCCCACAGTTTCGCATTGAAGTCGAAATGGACGTCTCGAATGTGCGGAGGCACCCTTTGCCACAACCGCCTGAATGCCACCTGTTGCGCCCCATTCAAAGAAGACATAACATCAGCGGGGGGTTTGTCGTCAGGCATGTCAGCCTCTTCATCCTCCTGAACCGCAAATACATTTTTGAATTCCTCATTTTCCACCAAACGAGCATCATCCAATTTACCACTTCCAGGGCTTCACCACCATACCCCAAAATATCGTTGGGTTTCACCAGACACGAGCTATCCCCCACTCTTTTGAGAGGAATTTCAGACGTGCCATTTTCGACCAATGCTTCCTGCGGGAACCACTTTTTCCCAAACTGCACACGGTACGTCCCCACCGCAGCGTCATTGCCATCTAGGTTGGTTAATTTTACCTCAACCCATGACATTGCATTTGGAAGCCATCGTTTACTACCATCAGATTTCACCTTCCGTTTCCACCAGACCAACCGCGTTACCCACCCATTCATCAAAGCGGTGATCTCCTGCCACTTTATCAGTATTTGCACCGACAAAAGTGACAATTGTTTCTGTGTCCGACACGTCTTGGAATCTGCGAACTGGAAAATCAGCCCAACTATCCCTCCCTAGTATCAGATCATGTCCCATAGCTGAGTCTGGCACGATGTACGCATACACACTCGTCCGTACCGTCGGTGTACCGAAATGAACCGGCGCTGATTTTCCGCCCTTCCACATTCAATATTCAATCGCATTCGTCGATCTGTAACCAACGGCACCCCATGGAACCCACCCCATTTATTTCTTGTTCAGTCCTATTTCAATGCTATCAGCTGAAGCCGAACCAAAAGCTAACATCTTTTGAACACATCTTTCTTGTACAAACGATGCCGGACTTCCCGTATCCAACAGAGCCTCGCACGACATCATCTTAGTCGCTCTCGACCCCGCGAACACTTGAACTCTAGTCGTATGCCGATGTCGATCCATCGTCAAATCCCCACCGACCGATCGAGTATATGGTGACAGGTAGTCCGCCGCTTCACCTGCAGCAAACGTAAAAGGAGGCGGAGGGTACACCGCATCACTCCTTTGTCCTGACACAGAATTAACAGATACTTGGACGGCAAAAATACGATCTGTTCCTTCTTGTGTTTCACCAAAATTTCCTCCCTCCTGCGCTGTTATCTCAACCTCACGCTTGAGATAATTTTCATAGGCGGATGCATCCCCTATCACGCCCTCTCCTCCTATCACTGGTAAAACAACAGTTTCATGGTTCTGCTTGCTGCCAGCACGATCAACGGTGGTATCGCTTTTTTCCTTTCTAGTGTCCATATTAATCGACTCCTTTTTGGCTCCATTTCGACCAACTGTGTGTTCCGCTTGAGGATACAGCGGACACCTTACTGTTCTCGGAGAATTTGCCTTGTGTATTTCCTTCCTTTGAGTGTTTAACGCATTCCCCGCTGGTGTTGCATTGTCAGTAACATTTCCCATTCTGCCAATGCTAGTCTTCGTTTGATCTGACGAAGGGGGCGTGTTCGGCACGCCTACTTCTGGAAAATCCCTGTGTGCCTTACTACTGATTGGTTCCTGAAGCTGTGCACGTGCATCTTGCGACACACTACGACCAAGAATTTCTTGCGGGGTTCTAGTCCTCAATACATTCTTGCTCCCACGGCCGACACCCGTGCAGCTCAATTTGTCAGCACCCGAAACCACTTGCAGTTTGGGATAATTACTTCCACCCTGCTTGGAATGCTCCATAGATACTGNCTCCATTTCGACCAACTGTGTGTTCCGCTTGAGGATACAGCGGACACCTTACTGTTCTCGGAGAATTTGCCTTGTGTATTTCCTTCCTTTGAGTGTTTAACGCATTCCCCGCTGGTGTTGCATTGTCAGTAACATTTCCCATTCTGCCAATGCTAGACTTCGTTTGATCTGACGAAGGGGGCGTGTTCGGCACCCCTACTTCTGGAAAATCCCTGTGTGTCTTACTAGTGATTGGTTCCTGAAGCTGTGCAGGTACTCTTGCGACGCACTACGACCAAGAATTTCTTGCGGGGTACTAGTCCTCAATACATTCTAGCTCCCACGGCCGACACCCGTGCAGCTCAATTTGTCAGCACCCGAAACCACTTGCAGTTTGGGATAATTACTTCCACCCTGCTTGGAATGCTCCATAGATACTGAAAAACGTCGCTTACCGTGGTTGGACGAGACTATCCCCGTCGCCAGGCCATCACCCTCGGTGTTGTGCACCACCGATCGGCCCCCCTCCTCCTCAACAATCCCACCCTCCGAGTCGTCTTCGATGTTCTCGCGTGATGATTGTTTTCGCTTTAATTCAGCCTCCCCGAAATTCTGTTTTGATCCCGGTCCTGGGCTCTGCTTTCTTCCCTTCTGCCCGCGATTATTTCTTTTCGTCATCACAATCCGCGGGACCTCCTTCACCCTGCATCAATCTCGTAATATTTTTCACCCCTTCCACTCTTCCCCTCCACTCCGCGAGAATTTTTTTCTATTTCGCAACTCCGTTCACTCCTGTTTCCCTTCACCTCTCCCTCCTTCCTCTCTTCTTTCTCTGCCTGATCACCCACAAAGCATCTCGGCCAAGGTGCTACCGGCAAGCTGGCCATCTGACCGTCGCACCATCAGTTTTTCCTCTCCCTCCTCCTCTCCTCCATCCGATTTGCTTGCCATTGCCTCAGGCGATGCAACCATAGATCCCACCTTGCCTTCACTTCGGCTTTTGACCCGTTTGCCAAATCTTTGTTCAACATGTTCGAGGCGTTAATGTACCCCTTATCACAATCCGCACAAAGTGTCCCTCACTGCCACAGTTCAAACACGTTAATCCGAACGCCCGCCTGTGCCTGTCCTTTTCCTCGACAGACGTGAACCACGCGAAGAAAGGGCAATCAGTCGCTTGGCTGTTTGTGCGAGGCGCGGCGTGAATGTCATAGACTCTCTTAAACTCTGCACATTCGTCCTCGTAATCCATGTCCTCCACCGTCATCACCCTCCCCCCATATCCACCATCTGACCTGCCAGGAGAAGCGGACCGGAATGTATTCGTTCCCCGTGACCCTGTCCTTCCTCCTCCACCCCCTCTCCGTCCCTGCCTCCACCCCGAGGAGCTCTTACCTGAGCCATCCTCCGCGTCGGAGTCCTTGCCCCCCCCCTTCACCGCCTTGAAATTTCGCTATTCATGCATCAAGGTGTCGATGTTGTCGAACGGCACAACGCCCAACTCCTTGCCCTTGAACACAGAAGCGGTCAAAACACTGTATTGATCAGACACACTCTCTCTGACTGCCAGTTGAATTGTGTTGTCCTGCGGCGTCACAATTGCCAGGTTTCGAACATTGTGCACCAACCCCTGCAAGGTAGTCAAGTACTCGCTATACGGCGTTCCAGTAGGTACTGCAAACGTCTGCAAGTCGTACACCAACTTCTCGGGTGACGATGAACTCACCACCCTCCCCAACGCCGAAGTCAAGAATGCCAACGCTTTCTTACCCGTNGCCTCCCCCACGGAGAGGAACTAGATGATGAAAGAGTACCAAAACCAGACTCTGCCCGACCTAGCCTGTTCCCTCTCCCCCTCCCCCTTCCCTGTTGAGAGGATGAAGCACTTGACACACTTTCGCGGCTAGAGGAATACCCTTCCCCTTCCTTCTGCCTCATTGCCTCATCGAATTCGGATCTCCTTTCCTTCTCTTTCACCTTCTCTGCGAGTGCCTTCCCATCGAGACCAGGGTACTTTGCCAGAACCTCCTTGTACACACTGTCGTTAGAGTTTTCTGGAGTGGACGGCAATATCTTGGGAATAATGTATCCCTTACCGTTTGTCCCCCTCGTCCCGTCCANCCCCAGTCCGCGACCCTTCCCCCCCTCCTCCCTTTGCCCTCTCCCCTTCCCCCTGCCGTGAGAGTTGTGTCTGGGTCCTCTTGACCTTTGGTTTTGCACTAGGTGGTTCTGGCATGAGTAGGCTCTCTATCCCTGCCATCTGTTGAGCAGTGAGCAGGCCCCTTCTCNCACCGTTTGTCCCCCTCGTCCCGTCTACCCGAGTGTCCCCCCAGTCCGCGACCCTTCCCCCCCTCCTCCCTTTGCCCTCTCCCCTTCCCCCTGCCGTGAGAGTTGTGTCTGGGTCCTCTTGACCTTTGGTTTTGCACTAGGTGGTTCTGGCATGAGTAGGCTCTCTATCCCTGCCATCTGTTGAGCAGTGAGCAGGCCCCTTCTCGCTGTCTCTGCTTCCTTTCTGTGATCCAGGAATTTAGAATTCGCCTCCCCGAATTTTTCCCGTAACCGCGCCAACCCTTCCTGTGCCTTGNTTTCTGTGATCCAGGAATTTAGAATTCGCCTCCCCGAATTTTTCCCGTAACCGCGCCAACCCTTCCTGTGCCTTGCCCAGGGCAGATTTCTGCTTAGCCCCACCATGTCTTTTCTTTACAGCGGAAAGTTCCTGTGTCTTTTCCCTGTGTTCGCTCTTCACGCCTTCAAGGGCTGTTTTCTCCCTCTCCACTTCTCGCTCGTAATGGGCCTTCTTTTTTTCCGCCTCCTTCACCTTCTTCTTTGCCTCTTCCTCCTTCTCATCAAGTTTTGTGATCTCCATGATCATTTTCTGGACTTCCGGGTCCCTCTGTACCCTTCCCCACTTCTTCTCAATCACCTTTTTACTTAGCTCGAAATCCTTTCTCTGCTTCTCATGGTGCTGCTCAGCCAAAGCCACCATTCGTAAAGGGATAGGGATTTCAGGGGAGGGTGTGTCCAACTTCTTCTTCTTAGACCCCCTATGTTCCACCACCTGCCATGGGTTGAGCACGCGTTGCACAGATGGTAGTGGAGGAAACTGGTCATCCTCACCTTCGTCGAACAACGACTCGAAGCGATTTCCCGCCATCACTGATTGACCTGACACCGTCTCAGAGTTGCTGAATACAAGCTGGCTAGATTCGTCTCCCTCACATAGTTGTAGAGGTGGCACATAGTTGTCTGCTGCTTGAAACGTGCTTTCCATCTCCTTTGCCAGTTTCGCACTGGCCGCTTGTTGGCGCTTTTCCCTCAACATTCTTGCGTTCTCCTCCCAACTCAGACGGGTTGCGATTTCAGCGTCTGTCTCTGGTTCCTGTCTTCCACCTCCCCCCATATTGGACACCAGCGTTTTGAGAGCCTCCACATCACCCCCAAAATGTGACTGTAACAAGAAAAGCACGCCCGAAGTGTTTCTCACCTCTCCCCTATCCGATGGCTCCCCGCCCTGGGACTCTCCATCCTCCTCCCCCTCCTTGCNGGCCGCTTGTTGGCGCTTTTCCCTCAACATTCTTGCGTTCTCCTCCCAACTCAGACGGGTTGCGATAATGACTCTCCCACATCTCTCTGCCCCGATCTCCCGTGATGTGCGTCAGCCCTTTTGCTAGGCTTGAAGACACACCTTTTTCCAAGCCACCCACCGCCGTTTCCCCCTATTGCGACACACTTCCCCCCCCAGCGTACGCAATACCCTCATAACCCCTCTTGCCCTCAGGCCATTCACCCTTTCCCCCAGAGACCTCAACCTCTGTCCGTTGCGCATCCTCGGATGTCTGCTGTACATTCTTAGATAGCACTTCCCTTGTCTGACGTGAGTCTCCAACTTTAACGTCTCCACCCGACCTCTTTTTCCCTTCCTCCCGAGGTCTCTCTGTCAGCACTTCCCCTTCCCCTGACATCGCTTTAGCCGCCGAAGTGCTATAGCACTTCCCTTGTCTGACGTGAGTCTCCAACTTTAACGTCTCCACCCGACCTCTTTTTCCCTTCCTCCCGAGGTCTCTCTGTCAGCACTTCCCCTTCCCCTGACATCGCTTTAGCCGCCGACTCATCCCCTCCGGTCGACAACTCATCCATCCCACCACCCTTAGAACCACCACCACCCGTGTGGTCCGAGTGCCCAACCCTCCCTTCATCGCTGTTCACTTCCCCACCCTCACCTCTCTGTGCCATGGGAAGAACACACCGCAAGCGGTGCGCTAACCGCGTGGCCCCTCCTTCGGTGCCAGTGACGTGGAATCGGCCGGCGGTGGCCTATTGCGCGTAGATATGTGTGTAGATGTGCCAGTGGGGTCGTGGGTTCGCGCGTCTCAAAGTTGCTTGCGATCAAAGTGTGTTTCTTAGGCCTTCGTGGGCCGGGAACAGCAAGGAAATTGAACACTGAAACAGGGGGGGCACGCGACATCAGCTGAAACAAGCTAATTGCGCCGCTTCCTCCCTATCTATCTAATTGGGCCGCTTCACTTTCTCTCCAACTCTCTCTCTCTCTCTCTCTCAACTAACTGCAATTCCCTCATAAGCTCATCATTCCAACCATAAACCAACCCCTTCTCCATTCTATTCTCAACCTCATACTCTTTTCTTGACCTTCTGTAAAGGAGGACCCGATGCGCAGGGTATCTGTCGATTGACTTTTACCTGAATCGGTACACCTTCGCATATGGCGTCAGCTGGATACAGGTTCGAATCTCCTTGGGTGCACACTTTTTCTCCTGACTTGGATATTTTCCCAAGGACACAATGTGTGTCAGTCCTGAGAACACCCGTTGGAGTCGATCCTACAAAGAACCTTGTGACACTTCCATCGAATTACCCATCCTGGCCACAAGAGGTTCCCAGTTGAGGGTAAATTCTGTGGGTGGAGAGTGTAAAGGAGGACCCGATGCGCAGGGTATCTGTCGATTGACTTTTACCTGAATCGGTACACCTTCGCACTTCCATTCCATCACGCCTCAACATATATGCTGCGATTAAACTACCCCAAGTCTTCTTCTTACCCTGACCTAACCTAGGGTTGACTTATTGCACGACAAGCAGCAATGGGTTTTCCAATAATCTACTGTGCATGCTTTCTGTTATTTCCACGTCGGTTTCGTGTTTTTTTTGTTCAGGCGGCGTCGTACTACACTCGAGACGAGTTCCTCGAGCTGGAGCCTGTGATCGTCACCAGCCTCAACATGCTCTTGCGCACGTACCTCAAGGTTTGTTAAACCCCGAGCGGTTTTGTTGTTGGCGCTTTGAAGCAAGATTTTGCGAACGGACCTTGAAGGTTAGTTAAGTGCGGAGCGTTTTTGTTGTTGTCGCTCTTGGACAAGCTTTTGCTACAGTGCCTAAAGGTTTACTGAAACCTGCCCTGAACTTTTGTTTGTGCTTAGCTGTCCCTTTTGGACAAGCTAACGGTGACGTACCAAAATTCTGAACTGTTTGCGTTTCATGCTTGTAATATTTGACTGTCGCTTCTGGACAAGCTTTTGCGAACGTACTAATCCTAACCTATTGAGTCTAGCTAGACGGGTTGCTCTCGGCCTATGTAGACAAGACAAGGCCTTGTTGCTGTTACCAGACAAGGCCTTGTTGCTGTTACCGCCGCTGACACGGTCTGTCCGTCGATAATGATTGCCGAACGGTTTGACAGAAATGTACGCCGCATCAAGCTGCGCGGATAATACCACCCGCTACAAACAACTTGCTTTGGTCACGTTTGGTCCGTGAAGCCCTCGGCATTCGGCGACTCAGTTACTCTATGTAGAGATGGCACTGAGGCTGTGTGTCTGACGAATTGCCGGGGCGGGATTTTGAGCAGGAAACGCTCGCTTGCATGAGGGCTAGGAGGAACGAGCTCTCCTCGAACCAGAGCGTGTCGGTGGTGAGCAACCTGGCGGAGATCGGGGTGAGCTACGTGCCCCTTCTGGCGGCGTGGTGCGCGCAGCTTCTTCCTGAGATCGCGGACG